ATCAGCTTAATTTTTTTTTTTTTTTTTTTTTTTTTTTTGCTAAGAAAAAAGATATGAAGATACTGCCAAACTCTAAATGCGCGCACCGGCTTTGAGTCACGTGCCGAAAATAACCTAATATCACAAAGCTTTCCTATATTTAACAAAACAAAAAGACGAGGAAGAACAAGCGGAAGAAATAACACGGAAAAGGAAACAAGAAAGGGAAGGAGGAAAAATAATAGATAATTTTCGTTCTGCTTTTTCCAAAAAACTTATCAAACAAATGCGTATCGCTGCGGAAACGAGCAATAACAGGCCCTTGAAGCGCAAACTCGTGTCATTCAAATAGGTTCAAATTACAAACTCGAAGACGAGTACTCGGTATAGATAAACGGAAAAGGGAAAAGAAAGAAGAGGATACGTTCTTCTATCCATCCCGGTAACGTCGACTTTAGCTTCTTGTGTGAGCAGATTTACCTCCCCCAATTGCCAGGATATCCGCCGACATCTCCGTAATGCTGCTGTGGTGGTGGTACGTAGTCCGCGCGAGGCGGCATACCAGGCTGATATCCTCCATACTGCTGTGGTGGAGGTGGTGGCGGTTGTTGCTGCCATGCCGGCCCATTCCCAGGACTGCCGAGCTGTCTTGAACTTCCGTACGGGCCACCGGGAGGGCCTTGGATTGATTCATGATATACGGGCCTGGTTTGGTCGATGAGAGGATCGTATATTGGATTTGAGCCAAAGCCTGGTGGTGGTGGAGGCATGTTTCTCGGTAGGCTTTCTGGTTCCCTGTATCTGTGGTCATAGTTTCCCGCTGGGGGTCCTCGAGGGGGATATGGCTGGCCCGCTGGTCCAGCTTGGTATTTTGCAAATGATTCCTGTCGTTCTGACTGTCTTTTCCTCTGTGCTTCACGATGAGATAGGGGAAATACGGGAGGTGCATTAGGGTCTTGATTGAGGAGCGTGATTCCATGTTCTTGATGTCGCTGAGTTTGAACTGGGGACACGCGAGGAGGGAACTTTCCAGGTGTTACCGGAATTGCCTGGTTTGTATACCGAGGATCGGCAGGCTGTTGAGGGCCGCAGAAAGGGCGAGCATTGGAATCATGCATCTGGGCGCCATATAACTGACCCTGCGGGCTTGGGTTCATAGGTATACTGTTGACGTGGGGTGGTTGGCCCAAGGGAAGGCCAGAGTTCTGCATGTGGCTATCATTGTAAGATTGGGGATGGGGAGGGAAATGTTGTGCTTGGTGTTGGTTAGCGGGTGAGCCTGAGGTAGTATGGAAGCCTTGTACTTGGCCAGGCAGAGACATCGGCTGCTGTGGCGTATTGCTCCCAACCCGGGAGTGATTTGGCTGTTTAAAGAAACCAATCAGCTCGCTAGTTCTATTTGACGAGCAAAATATGAGTAGCTTAAAACATACACTGTTATGCTGGACCATCATCTCGTCTTGGCTCGCCAGGGCAGAGATATCGGCGATAGCATGCACTGGGGTGGTTTGAGCCGAAGAACGGGGGTGTGGGACTGCATCACCGGCAACCGGAGTTCTTTGTGATCTTGGAGAGGTGCTCTGAGGTGATAGCTGCTGTGTAGCCTGTACGAGACCCGAGAAATTGATTAGCTACTGTTTACTTATCTGATGCAATCCCAGATACAAAGTCTCAACGAGGTGTTCCACATACTGCAAAGTTACCATTTCCATTCCACTTGGCATTCCTTACTTCCATCAATTCTCTTGTGGCTTCGGACTCGGGCGAGGTGGCACTCATAGTGAGAGGGGAGGGGTAAGGGCCGGGACTGGCAGCGGAGTGAGGAGTCGAGGAGGTCGACGCAATGAACGGTTCAGTGGGTATCTCCCACTGTGATTTCCTGGTTACTGGCTGGACATAGTACCATCGTTGCTGGCGGCCGTCCCACTGAGCAAGCCTAGAGGAGGGAAATCAGCACGGACAACGATCAGCCACGGGGATCATGACAAAAATAACTAACTAGTGAACAAAAAGATAAAAAATGAAAATGAAAATAAAAATAAAAAATAAAAAACGTACCATCCTTCAGGAAGAACGGGAGGAGAGGATGATGGACCAGCTGCATCCGGGCTCATCACCCGTGAAGACTGCGGACTCATTGTGATTGTGTCTGGTATGCCAACGGCCGCTAATGTCAAGATAAGAAGAGTACACCTTGTTGGCTATGGAGCCAGGACAGGACGAAGAAAAAACCGATTATATTGGAAAAAAAAAGGACGATCACCGATGTCGAGCCAGCAACAAACGGCCAAGATGTCGGATGAGATGGTATTGATTTAGTAGAGAGGCGGATGGTCGGTATGCGTGTAGTGTATATGTATGCTATCCGGCCGTCCAAAGCGGAGTCGTTGAGATAAGCAGCAGCAGGTCTCGAGTCCCCGCGGGAGATATTAACGGGAGAATATAGGAGAGACGGGGAAAGGGGACAAGCAGAGGAACGCGCGGAGAGTAGGAATAAGGACGCTATTGAGTTTTCATGGTGATGTGATTAGTCGTAGATCGGTATATTGTTCGATATGATCAGAGCGCGCGCGGGACAGGAAATCGGGTCTATCAGGCGGGCGTCCGGCTGTCAACTTGCTCGTCCGAGTTTTTACTGTACAAGGGCTAGCGAGAGGCAGCAAAGGCAAAAGACGACGAGGACGAAGCCGACAAAGCTGAAGCAGACGAAGAGGCGCCGAGGCAGAAAAGCCAATGATGTGGTGTGTGATTCTCTCCTGTGGTGATGTGCTGCTGATGGTGGGGATCGCTAGCGATGGCAGATGGAGACGAGGGGAAAGGATCACCAGCGCACTGCAGCGCTGACAAGAACGACAAGACTGACAAGATTGACGATGGGAATAGATACGGAGAGAGAGAAATAAATACACGATTTCTTTTGCTTCCTCGCTTCATCCCCACGCTCTGCTCTCGTGCCTAACGGTCAGGTAGGAACGGCGTCAAGTCAGCCAGTGTGAGCTAACTAGTTGGCTGGTAAACACCCGCAGCAGCACCCTTGATGCCCAACGGCCGACACAAAACTTGGCAGGCAACTGGCTAACTAACCAACTAGACAAGAGTGACAAATAAACCTTGGCGGGTAACTAACGCAGGCGAGTACTTGAGAAGAAGGACGTTAGAATGCTAACCATTCAACCTCAGCTCTGCCTCGATGCATTGCATCCATCCATGTGAGCCAGAGGCCAGAAGCCTGTGACTGAAAGGCGCTGCAGCCGAGAAGAAGATCCCCGAGAAAGGGCATGCTGCTGGCTTAAGAGCGACCGGGCGTGTGGTGTGACTGGGTACCTCTTGGACAGGCCATCATAGCCATTTACAAACACACCAGAGGGACATCCTTTGGCTTGTTGATATGTATCCTTAGAATGTTGGAGTAGATATAGATAATAGTAATTAATGCGGCCAAAGTTGATTGTTGAATATCGAATATCCTTCCAGAGTACAAGCAATGGCCTCTCCTGCTGACTTAGCAGGACCCTTACTAAGCAGCTGTATAGTGGCACTGGAGCTAGTACCTAAAAGGCATAGCGTGCCGTTGAACCTTCCCGTGACAGTGGGATCTTCAGAAGTTCAGAAGCAAAAAGTTATCAGAGTATCAAAGCATTGATTCAACACGAGATACCGCGGAGGGAGTGCGCCGAGTACATGGAAGGGCCTCTTGGTTGTCATTGCTGCGGCTGCATGCATAATTTCCAAGCTGCGATGCCTGTTTATGGAGTACGTATGTGCCACAAAGGTCATGGGAGTGTCTCGAGGCGATATCGGCGTAAGGGGACTGACGGGTGGCGTGAAAAGGACGCATCGTAGTAGATAGACTCATGATGATTTTTGCAAACAGCTACGCGGGTCGGTGCCAGTAAATAATGAAATGTCTCTAGACAAGGAGTCCCCGCTCTATCCCTGCTCTATCCTGGTCGCACTCCATCCTCCAAGAGAACATTTGGAATGGCCCACAGGGTGCTGTATACTTACAGCCCTTACTCACTGCAAGTCGTTGGCTCTTCGTTCAGGACAAAGTTTCGATCTCGATTTAAGATTAAGACTAGTCACGTGATAATCCAGCAACGGTCTTCACTGCTCTATCAATCTTGGATATCGCATTTTACTCAATCCCAATTTTCCGAATAATAACCACCCAACGCAAACATGTTGTTCTCTAAGCTCCTTGTTGCTTCGTGCATTTCTCCTGTCTTTAGCAGCTTCTTGCCGAAAGACTACGTCACCGACCTCATGGCGCGACAAGGCCCTGGAGAAGATCCCATTATCATCGGCGACGATGAGTGGCTGAACAGCCTTGGGAAAGCTGCGGCTACTCTCCATAGACGTCAGGAGGAGCCAGATTACCCATACATCAAGGAACTGAGAAAGACTCTCAAGGACAGCCATCAAATCGATGGCAAGTGGCCGCCAGTTGGAGAAGTCAATCCTGTTCCATCATCCACTGATTGCAAGCTAGGCTGCAGTGGAACGTGCAATCCTGCCGCAACCTATGACCACCAGACTCTCCGGACCATCTCTGGAGTCACTGTTACTGGATATCCGAATGTTGATGAGGTCTTCGAAAATCCAAACGACGACCCTCTGGACATTGAGGTCAAAAAGGGAACTGCAGTGACAAAGGGGAATACAAAGGGTTGGAGCATTGGGTTAGGTCTTAGTGGGGGCTTGGGCCCTGCGTCTGCCGAATTTTCGGGCCAAATTTCCCAGTTGACGGAAGAGACCTCTACCGAAACCCGCGAAGTCAGCTGGAAGGGCAAGTGCCCCCCGCACACGGAATGCCGAGTCACAACCGTGACATTTACGATCACTGTCACGGGCATGTGCGACGAGTTGCCTTACGCCTACTGCTTGACTGGACGTCCGCAGAAGAGAAATATGTGTGGGGAGAGCAAAGATCACTTCCTCACCTGTCTCTGCGATGCACAGAAGGCATTGATTGAGAGACAATGCCCAAAAGGCCCCCAACTAAAATCCTGCGAAATTACCTTCCCACTCAGGAAACCAGACGGCAGCCTTCGCACTGTGCAATTCCTAAGCCAAACGCCTATCTCTAAATAAGATTCCGGGATGAAAGAAGTCGGTGGCCGAGGGTTGATTTTCAATGAGCAATATTGCTTCGCTTTTTGACCTAGGACCGTTAAATCATTGCCCCTGCCCCCTGAAATTCTCCTGAAATTGTCAATTAGCCTTTAGCTAGCGCCACAAGCAAGAATATTATAACATTCCTTAGTATATTTACCTGAAACGTTTTCTCTACTAGCTTACCTTGTAAGGACTTATTGCTATAGTTACCGGAAATTTGTAGATTTGTAATACCACCAAAATACCAATGTTTCGAGGTTAAATATAATATCGGTAACTACTAAATATAGTAAGGTAACGGCTGCAAAATGTGTCTATCTCATAGGTCGCTACTCGTAGGGCTCTCTACCTAAGTAGTTAGTCTGACTGTCTCGGGCTTGTTAAGTCGGTTAACTAACTCTGGCAGGCGCCATCTCCCGTCCGCGGCTGCAGATCCGGGTCGTTTAAGTTAGCTAGGTAGTCATGCAATTGGCGCGATCATTCTCGAGTTAACTAAGTAGTTGCTCCCTCGACTTATGCTGCACGTGTACATATGTCCATTCACTAGGCCTTGGCAAAGTTGCTTATAACCAGTAGCGAGCAGTTCCAGCGATATATTTACGCGCATGCAAGGGGTCGTCCATGCAAGGGGTTTCTTGTCTTCCATGGCTGCAGTTGCATGCTTAATTGCGAGTTTAGATGCTTGGTAATGGAGTATGTTGCCACAAAGGTAACTAAGGGGACTATATCGAGTATCGGTGCAAGGGAAGCATCTTTTGCCGGTTTGCGGAGGGTCCGCGTGGGTATCATATATATCCAGGTCCATAATATACCATGGAAGCGAGACGGACAGATGGCTCGATGTTTCGAGACGGAAATTACTTTGCTTAAGAGATTGTTTTGATTATATATATAGAGATAACTAGAAGTAGAAAAAAAAAAAAAAGAAAGGAAAAAAGACCACCCAGGGCTGCTGTTCCTCCCTCTCTCCTGCTATGCTGCCTATAGACCAGTTTATAAGTACCGCCCGCCATAAGGTAGTTGAAACTCCGTTAACCTTGCTCCGTTTTTTTGATAGTTGGTAACCCCAGATGTAAATCCCATAATGATGATGCAGATGAAGTAAAACTATTAAGGGCAAAAAAAAATAAATAAATAAAATAAGAAGAAGCGCGAAAGACAACGATTAGAAGAACAGACTCTCAGCCAATAAAAGGGCGGAATTGAGTAGTTAGTGATTAAAAGGAAGGAGGAAAAGGGTAGAAAAAGGTTTTCGGCCTGCAAAACCTGGTCAAGAGAATCTGCTGTAAACGATTACGACGGCTTCGTTTATGTAATTTCGTTCATTTTCGTTCCTCTGGGAGGATCATCTCCATCATTATTATTAGTCACCAAGCATAGTCGTCGTTGAGAAAGTCGAGATCGTCCCCGTCCCAGTCGTCGTCTCCGCTGGGTTCTGCATCACTCAGATTCTCTGCGGGCAAGATCACGTCTGCAGGCCTGAGATTGTCGATTCGGATTTTCACCACATTGCACATTCCTGGGCCATTGGCCATAAAACCTTGCCGTCCAATGATCAGGGGGCTGTCGTTTCGACTATGAAGCTCGTGGGGGGACGGCGCGTCACTGGATCGCCTGCTTTCGTCACCGCTCGTGGACGGTTTGCGCTCAGCAAGACGTCGGCTCTTTCGCCTAGGCACATTATCGTCCGTGGCCTCGTCTCGGACAAGGTGCGAGACGTCGGAAGCGTCTGACCTTGATGATGGCCTACGACTCAGGGCTGAAGACGCTCTCAGGTTTCCGCCGGAGATGCACAGTGGAGGCTCGCTTCTTCTGAGAAACGTTCGTTCCAGCGTCCGGGCCCATTCATCCCTGAACTGAGCACGGTCTCGCCAGTCTGTCTTCAGGATTGCGGTAAGGGTAAGTTTGCGCAGATACTTCAGGCGCGGAGCAGCTTCGATCAAAGACCTAAACACAGCCTCCGCAGTCATGATATCCCATTTGCGGAGGCGTTCAAGCTCAAGCGTTTCCAGGTTGGACGGCCATGTCGGTACCTGACCGGGGTGAAGGAGCAGCTCAAAATGCGGCTCGACATCGTGAGCTAATGTATCGCCAGAGCTGAAGTTTAGATCCATCCTGAAAACACGCAGAAGAGGGCAGGATGCCCGCAGTCCGACAGTGAACGACATGTCAATCTCCTTGTTATGGGTCAGGTTGAGAACCTCCATTTTCTGGCCATGTTCAAACAGATAGCTCGCAAGGCCCTCCGAGTCCACATTTTCACACTGGTCTAGAGTCAAAGTCTGCAAGTCGACCGGCAACTTGAAAAGAAACCCATCCGGAAGGTAGCACTCAGTAAATTCCAATACCGACAGTTTTGGAAGAGCAACTAGTGAAGAAACTAAATGTTCGGCTGGCAGAGGCTGCTCGTTATCATCCAGAGACAGCCGTGTTTCAGGTGGCTCATACGGCCAGATTTTATAAAACCTCAGTGTCCTGAGTGAAGAGAGCATTGGATGGAGATGAAATTCTTTCAATCTCGATAGGTGGACTCGGCTGCTCCACTCCCAGCTCCGAAGCTGGATGTAATCTGGAGGCATCGATTCAAACCAATGTTCAAGAAAGGCCAGTTGGAAGGGCTTCGACATCTTCCGTGGGGTATCACTAAGATCACGGATCTGAAGATGTTTTATCTGAGGCGCAAACATCAGGAAAGAATGTATCTGAAACCTGTCCACTTTGGGCATATGGGTAGTTATTTCCAAACATTTTACCTTGCTACGATAGTTGGTCAAAGCCGTGGACTGGTCGAGCTCTAACGGCTTTCTAATCTCCTCGAGCCAGTCCATCGTGAAGGCCATGGGGGAATAATACAGGGCTGCTATAGCAGGCTCGAAAAAGGCCCTGCAGAGCCGTGAAATGCGCACTAGCCACCGTATTGACTTCAATACCTGGGTGACTTGGATACCTTTCCCCATCGGCGCAGCTCTCAGAAAGATGTCAAACAGAACGTGGTATGGGAGGGTCTGCCATGGTGGAATTTTGGTAGATTCTACGGGGGATGGCATTTCGAGCTCAGATTCGTCTTCTGGCTTGAGCTGTTTGGGGGAGGTAGTCAGGACGTTTTTGCGAGACGCTTGAAGGAAAAGGGCTCGCTTCTTATTGTTTGATGACGACCTTGTGATGCGGGCTCCGAGGGCCTTTTTCTTCCGAGGTGAAGGTGAGAGCGAGCGTTGTTCGGCCCGAGATTCCTCTGAAGGGATAAAGTCAGAATAAACCAGTGGTCGAACAGTGACTGGGGAGCTATCCGAGCTCTCGTTGTAGATGTCTACCTCATCCGAGTCCGAACTATCCTCACGGTAAGTCTTCACTCGAGTACTGCTTGCGCGAAGGGGCCGACCCGAGCGTCTCGGAGGGTTGGCCGGTAAAGGACGAAGACTTGGAGCCATGCTGCGTCCAAGGGCGAGTGCATCATTGGCGGGCGAGGTCGAAGCGAGGTAGAAGTAGTGATGGAGAGTCGAGGAAGTTGCCGAAGCCAGCTCAGCGGGCAGCAGAAAGATCTAACTACCAGGAAGGTAATTTATACAGCAGCCAAAAGGATGAGCGACAGAACGCCTTCAAACGCCACCCAGCAAGCTCACTCACAGCAAACCATCTCTCTCTTCGATCTCTGTCTGTATATTAATGTTCGGATGTATATCGTCATTCGAGTTGGATTCATCATCGGGAGGTCGTTTTTCCCGGAAACCAAACAGTCCCGTGACCATCCCGGTGCCCGGGCGCCCGGCCGAAGTGTGATCGGACTATAGTTGGCCCGAAGATAAGATAATTCATTACATAAGCAGCTGCATTAAGTAAAACGCCTACGTAATACAGGCACAGCGCTTATGTCATCCTCTTCTTGCTTTGTGCTAAGCGCCAGACGCCAGACGCCAGACGCGTTGTTTATCTCTACCGACGGGCGATATTTCTGCAGCTCACCCTCCATCCACCCCTCCATCGAGAGATAGACGCCAGCCCAGCAGGACGCCGGCGCGCGACGAGAGCCAGCAGCCTCCGCCCGCGACCAGCGAGCGCACAGGGGCCAAGGAGCGCCCAAGAAAACCTTGCCTAGGTACCCTGCAAGCAGAATCACATGACGCCTGCGATTTGATGACTGTGCATAAATTAATTTGTCTTAGGATGGAGATGTTTCTATTTATAACGAGCCAGAAGGTGAAACAGCTACCACTTGCCCCCGATTTGTTATTATGAATGTGGGATGCTGGGAGCTTCTGTCGTGTCTACAACGCTCTCGGACGACGGCTCCGCACCTTGCCTCTCGTATATGCCTGCGAATTGACTCTCGATCAGCCATATGGCAGCCTCCCGCTCCGCCGGCAGTACCTCGTGAATGCGCACATCCAACATCCGTACCAGGCTACTTCTCCCTCCCCCTCTCCGTTCCCCCAAAGGAAATGCAATTCGCTTGCACAAGGCTGAAGACGACCCAGTATGGATGGGCTCTCCAAGCCAGGAGCTGAGGATGGAGCCCATGGGCCGCTGCAGTCCTCCAGCAACAACGAGAACGAGCAACCATATACTAAATATCCCGACCTTCCAGAGCCACCGCACCAGCAGCAGCAGCAGCAGCGGCAAGAAGGAATGCCGGAGACCAACAACAGCCACAGTCCCCCGCTAGCAGTCAATACCAGCGGCAACAGTGCACATCCTAGTGGTGGTGATAGGTATGCCATGTCGCAGGTAAACCGTGACGTTGCACCAGGCGGTCTTCAACCGTCACCCAGAGATCCTCGGTCTGCCATCCTGTCTCGACGTTCGCCGTCCGCCGCGTCCATGTCCCCTCCAGTGTCCGTGTTATCCCAGGAGCGCCAGAACGAACGCCTCCCGTCTACCGAACCGCGATCTCTTCCTTCGCGTGATATCACCAATGCGACTATTGACGATGCCTACGTTGAGTTCATCTTGTACTGCAACCCGACCATACCAAGCTCTACAAACACATCGGAGCTGCGCCGGATGTTTAGGTCGCCGCCTCGCAGCGAAGGGAAGAACTTCTGCACATTCATGCTCTGGGAATTGATACAGAAGCTCGATCGCAAGGAGCTGAAGACCTGGATTCAACTCGCTATAGAGCTTGGAGTAGAGCCGCCGTCCGTGGAAAAGAAACAGAGCACGCAAAAAGTCCAGCAATATGCAGTGCGTTTGAAGGTTAGATTTGGCGACTTTTTCTACTGTTTATTTCTTTCCCTTACGTATCATGCTTGGCTTGCTGGTTTCTGTGGTCCTGACTCTTTCGATTCTAGCGATGGATGCGCGCAATGCACATAGACGCATTTTTTGAATACTGTCTAGGCCACCAACACACATACTATACGAAGGTCCATCCACTTACTGAACAAGAAGAAGAATGTCGTGACGGAGTGCCAAGAGACGAAGACCTGGCTCTGCGTGCTCTTGTGCCCGAATGGAAGCCTAAACGAGGCCGAAAGAGGGTCGACGACATTGGCGTTGATCTCAAACAACAAAAGCGAACTCGCCTATATACACCAAACTCCGGGATAGAGGGAGGCTATCACACCGACGAGACACCCCAGAGCTCTATGCCCTGGAGCGCATACCCTGATTCCGCTGAACACCCGCCTGGCGGCTGGCCGCCAGGCCCAGCAGCACATCTTGACAGCACAAAGAACCCACACCGTATGGGAACTCCAGAAAGACCTATAGACGTTCAGACTGCTGCATCTGGATGGAGTTTTCCCATACACAGGTCTCCACCGTTCCGATATCCACAATCTGCAGTTACTCCCCGCCACCGTGATCTTGATGCGCTATTCTCAAACGAGCCACAGTCTGCAATTACTCCGTCTTCGGCAGATAGGGTGGGCGGGAAAAGGCGAGGCCGCCCAACAGTCTCTTCAGCGTGGCTTGGAAACAGCCCGTCTGCCGGAAAGTCTCGAGGTCGACCTATGCACCCTGAAACGCCGTCGTCTTCACTTTCGACGGCTGTTACTAGCCACCCGGACATTCGTCCCAATGATACTAACTTTCACGCCGAGCCCCCCAGTTCCGCAACTCCTGCTAGCAATGAAGCGGCGATGGCAACACCTGTTGCTACAAATACCGGTGCTGCCCAACCTCTTAGGAACTATGCTCCCTCGAGACCTACCAAATTACACCTTCAAGTGCCAAAGTCTGCTGGCACGCCCATTCGTCTGGCAACTCCGCCTCTATTGCTAGTTAATGGCCAAAATGGCTCGGGCGGGAACCCCGATGCAACACGGACTCATTCTGGAGAGATTCCTCAAAACGCTAATGAGGTATCCTCTCCATTTAGCTTGACGCTTGAGCAAGTTGATGACGCTCTATCTCGTGAAATACAAGGAGCCACTCTGTTCGGGAGGACCACTCCTCTTAGTCCTGCCGAATCACGAGCCATTGCTCATGCAACTATCCAACAAATCAAGTCACAATGCCACCCAGATGCCCCTCCAAGCACTGTTGCCAGCTATTGTGCCTTCTCACTTGGTCTCGGCCACAGGCTTGGCTTAGCCTGCAAGGCCCCTGATCAGATGAAAATCAGAATCGAACCGGGCATGTCAGATAATACCATTCGCGTACATTGCCCACCAGATGGCCCTACAAGCAGCGATCCCAGTGGGTCATTTCCCATTAGCTATACGCTTTCTTACGACTTTTCTCCTACCCCTGGTGTTACATCCCAGGTATCTATACGGGGTAATGCTCCATCGCAAATGACGCTGGGTGAAGACAGCACAGCTCAATATGGCCACGGCCACTATAGACATGGGGATCAACGTACAGCAACTGGGATTGAAGAAGGGTTATCTGATGATGAAGCTAGCCTTGAAATCGGCATGACCGCGAGGGACTGGAAACAGCGGTACCTGCTCCTACGACAACAAACCCGCAAGAAAGATGCTGCGCTTTTGAAATATAAAAAACAGATCCTAGAGGCTGTCATGACCGATCCATGACATTAATTCCTTTATCTTTCCTTATTATATATACACTTCCTTGCGGTTTCGCCCCTTCTCTCGTTTTTAGTTTTCCTTCGAAGGCCTGATACCCAGTGCTAAGCTGTTTTGGATTTTCGATATGGAATCTGAGCTTTATACCCCTTCCCACATCCGAAGTTCTGTATTATTACTACTTATTTAATTTCAGACTTCCATTCTTTTCTCCTGGCCCTTTCCTGACATATCTCCTTGGACTTCTCTTGTGGGTATTAACTTGTTTAAATAAACGGAGGGTCAAAATCGGTATATATCCTCATTTGCTTCAATATGTTTCTCCCTAGAGCGATCAAGCATATCTACCACCATGCTCCATATCAAAACCAACCTATAGGGGGAAATTACAAGAGGATAAATGCATGAATAAAGTAAAATCTCCTCCGAAACTCCTCAATTCGGGTTCGGGTCCGGCCGTATGCAGCGCTTGTGAACTGTGATTGTTAAATGAAGGCAATTAGGCGCATATGCGACAGCAATATCCTTTAAACGATCTGGTTTTCAATCATCTCGTTCTCGTGCTTGACCACGGCTCCAGTGTTGCAGAACTCCTTGAACATTGCATCCTCTGACTCCTTATCGACACCAGGAACAGGCAAGAATGGGTCATTCTTCGTACGCAGCGGGAGTTCTTCCTCTGCCTCATCATTATCAGCTTTGGCGGACGCATCAGAGTCCAAAACCTTTTCTTCAGACTTGAATTTCTTAGTGGGGCTTTCGTTGTTGGCTTCGCCCTTGTTGGTCTTGCGCTTGGTAGGAGTCTTCGACGCTCCGTTGGCCTTGGGCTTAGTCGGAGTCTTTCGAGGCGTTTTGGGCTTGGTCGATGCCCCGTTCTTCTTGGGAGTCACGTTTGCGGATCCAGGCGCACCGTCCTCGTCCACTCCCTCGCCGGATGATGGATGAATACCATTGCCCTTAAGGATACGCTCATAGCGTTTTGCGCTGAGGTGACTCTTATCAGCATTCGCTAGCTAATGCGTATATGTCAATGGACTCACGCTGCTCCCTTGCTGACAATATTACATTCCTCAGCGACCGCAGCGAAATCGACCTATCCGTCGTTAGACTTGAATGCTTACAGAGGTGACTGTTTCCCAAGGAGCTCATACGCGATACGAGAGTGAATGCTTACCTTTCCATTATTGGAGTACTTGATGCACTTGATCAAGAAGATATTCGTCTCCTCAGCTGAAACACGAGACATCTTGATTGTAGATTATTGGTTAATTCGAATACCGAGAGGGTTGTTTGCGCTATAAGTGGGTATCAGCTGCTGCCGTGAATCAAGTATAATCGATGGACGTGGTTAAGAGAGGAAGCCAAGAGAAGAAAAGGAAGAAGAGGAAGAAGAAGAATGAAGAGGCCAACTTGAAGCAAGGAGAATGGTATATGGGGATATAAAAGAAGAGAGAATTCAGATGTGAGGATTCAGTTGGTGTAAAGCTGAGAAGCAAAAACACTGAACTATCACTTAGCACCAGGCAAGGTCAGGAAAACTGAACTATCAGTTTCAGGGAGATGCAGTGAGCTGTAAGTGGTATAGACACTGGCCTTCTCCTGAATTTTAACCAGGAAAAAATCAGGAAATGTAGTTTGTTTAGTTCTTTGCTGCTGAAGCCAAGGTATAATATAGAGGGATATGGTTTTGAACAGACAAGTCCAGTAAGGGAGGTGGAGATTAACAAACCTTTCTCTGCTAATAGCTAGATGCCTTTCTTACAGGAAGGTGAAGATAGATAGCTTTGAGAAGAGATGATCTAGTTTGTAGAAAAGGAAGAAAGAAAGAAAGAAAGGAAAGAATATCTTTTATAGAGGGAGGCAGCAGCAGCAGGAACAACAATGAGGCGCGTTCAGGCCAGAAATGAAAGAAACATAGACGCGCTACGCAGCCACCGTGTAAGCGTAACGAGCAACCAAAAAATCTATAGGGTATCAGGAATTGCGTAATTTGACTACTCAAGAAAATTAAAGAATAATGAAAAGAGTTACGGTCACTTCAATTGTAGTTGTGCTATGTAGACTAGACCCAACCGGATATCCTGGCCCAAAGCAGAAGTCCCATTTAATGATATCCACTGTCCAAGGAAAAGGGAGAAGAACTTGTGTGTGGTATAAAAGCCGAGTATCACAGAGTAGAGCTGCTCATAGAGAGCAAGAGGCATTAACAATCTCCGTGATAACAAGTTCCTCGGATGGGATAGTCCATGAAAGAAAATAAGAAACAGAAATTGACGATTAAATTTTGATGCTCATGGGCTCGCATTGAAGGAGACTGGTAGGACACGAGTCATAAGATCTAGAATAAATTTAGTGAGGTTGAGTATAAGCAGGACGGGAAAAGTCATACCCTGATATCAATGCAGTGCCACTTGATGTATCAAATTCTTACGCAGCTTCTTCCTCAGTTTCCTTTGTAGTTTCGGGAGCAGCTGCATCGTTCTCAGTCTTCGGCTCCTCGTTTTCCTTATTGTTTTCGGAAGCTTTGCGCTTCTGTCCACCATTTGCTGCGGGCTTTCTGCCACGTTTAGCGGGGCTTCCACCCGCCTTTGAATCTTCCCCCTCAACTTCGGGTTTGGCCTTGATCGGCCCACGGGCCGCCTTGGCTCCCTTACGAGGAGTCTTGGGAGTAGTAGCTGGTGAAGTGGTGTCTGCGCCGGTTTCCGCGCCCTCAGCGACGCCAATACCCCATTTCTTTTTGATCGCGCGTAGACGATTCCCAACCGATGCAGGGTTCTTGTACCCTAACTGCTCTGCGACAGCAGGCAGATCCACCTAGAAAGGCAAAACCGTGAATAGTTGGCTTTGAAGATGGGTTATACGTATTGCTGACTTACATTGAAGGGTCCCTGGAGATACTTGAAGCATTCAGCCATGAAGGCAATATCACTCAGTTGTTTGTTGCCTGCCTCGGCGGAGTTCTCAACATTGTCTGCCATTTTTGACCACTGGTCGTAGATGAGATATTGTTAAGAAGTAGTCAGAAGCAGCAAGTTGATGATTGTATGTGTATTGGAGCAGTCAAGTTGAGGCTGGTGTGGTAAGAAGGAAGGGAAAAGGAGGAGAAGAAGAAGAAGAGGGAGAAGAAAGGGGGATGTGGGTTTTATAGTGAGAAATCTGTGAGCAGGTACTAAAACGGAACTTTTCTTAGTGCGGGTGCGCTCAGCACCGTGTGGCCAAGCTATAGCCGACTTCGGCCTCGTAGAAAAGTGATGGAAGTGCAGGTAGGAAGTGATTTCATTGAGGCCAGGTGCCCCTCAAACTAAGGGGTAGGGAAGCAAGAAGAATAAGCTAGGCATTTCTAAATATTCTCGCCCATTGTTGATCTGTATATGCTTAGATCTTGGGGTGAGAAATGTCAGAGCTAGTGACATAGTAAAAGCTGCATGTCATGCCGGGTATTTGCCTAGCCACAGAGCAGAGAAGAAGTATTCTTCCCTAGGCTATTTGATATTGACAGTGTGTACAGGGCGATATTGGTGATATCTCGTCAAACAGGAGCCTAGTAAGGGGTATCATTATCACAGTGCCTAAAAGAAATTAATATCAGATATGGCCAGTATTCCTACTGGGCAGCCGGCTGTCCTCGAGCACAGAGGCTTCAACGTAGCGAGACAACGCGCCCAGGCAATAATAGACAGAGTTATCTCATGAGAAAAGAAGGTTTAATCTTCTTGTATTTCGACTGAATAAAAAACATATACATCATGCTGCATCTTGCAGTCTCCATGACGTTCATGATTGTTGCAGAGAGAAGACAGAAAGATGAAACTGCGAAGACATGAAGTCCTTTTTACCTAAAACAGCAGTCCACGTGACACTCACTTTGTCTTCACAGTAAAAAAAAAGGTAACAAATAACTAGTTAATTGAACAGTTCACAAATTTGGTTCAGTTTTGATAAAGAGATCCTGCATCTCAATCTCGCCATCGGCCCTTTCGCTCTTGACCTGGACCCAGTTCTCTCCAAAGGGCGGCGCGGAATAGCCGATGACTGGCTCCGGGACAAGAGAAGGAGTTGTCAGCTGTGCTGGAGAGACAGTTGAGAAGTCGAAAAAGGGGCTAGGATTTGGAATAGCTGCGTTCTCGAAACACCTGGGGACAGCCTCCATGCCCGGCGGATAGAAATACTGTGGTGGGGGCGGGGGCGAAACCGAAGCGGGCTCTGACATCCCGACTTGAAATGCTGGCTCTGGCTTCACTGGCGGTTCGGGCTCCTTCTTGACCGTTGGGCTAGCACTTCCGGTGGGAGACCGTTCCTTGCCCTTTACCGGTTCGTCGAACATGGCCTTCTTCGACTTTGCAGTTTCTGCCTTGGACTTCTTTGCACGAGGCGAGCGAGCGCTTGTTGTGTTGCCTTCCATGTGTTGCCGGAACCGTGAGAAGCGCATTCTGGCTGCATGACCGTTGGTAATTTCCAGCTGAGAGGCAACCAAGTTCCAGTCGATCTGGTGGCCAAGTACTAGCTATTGCTCAGAGAGCCGTCTACCGTCTAACCACTGGATATATACCCTGGGTGTCTTACTGATTTCAAGTCCAGCTGCTTCAGGATTGTGTATAAGAACTTTGTTGTTTGGCCATCCGCTGGCATAGTTTTGCTTCGCTTGACCGTTGCCATGGTGTAAGGTAATAGCTCAACCAAACGCTGGTCTATCAGGGGCTCGGTATAGAAGAATCGACTCAGGCTAAGACTAGAGTTTGGAGTGACTCCAGGTGCTGGCGGATGTAGGTGTCCTGATGGTCAGACAGATTCCAGATATGAACACTGATGAACAAATGTGCAATCTCAGCATGGAAGAGGCAGGGTAGTTATGTCTTCTCACCCTGCAGCTTTCTGCTCTATACCCCTATACCCTCTAGTTTCAAGAAGGACCCAGCTATACACCAGGCTTGAAACCCATGGTTAAAGCTTTGTCGGGGCCTCCTTTGATGCTAATATTTGTTGTGTGTGCCCAAATTATAACAAGAACACAGCCCTTTGTGTTTCTATGCCAACTTTGATACTTTTTGCTCTCCCAGCCGCTCTATTTTGTTTGACTGACTAGAGATACTGACCTAACCTCTACCTTCAATAAAGCATAGACATATTTCTTGTCCTTAAAGCTTCTACAATGCACCACTACTCTATCCACCCATGATACCTATTATTTCCAGAAACATCCTCTACGGTGCTAGATTCTTCTGACTACAATATAAATGTTATTCTATGTCTGATATACTATGTTTTATTGGTTTTGTTTTGTTATGCATATCTAGTTCTTCCTACAATTACATGCATCGAGTCACCTAGCTCTGCCGTATATCGAAGATCCAAATATACGCAGTTTGCCAGAGAGACCAGAATTCGTAGAAGTTCACTCCTCACTTTCAGACTCCTCTACGTGTTCTTTTTTGACCTTCTTAGCGTCACCCGACTCCTCATCGGAGTGTTCCTCGGCTGTGCGTTTTTTGGTGGCCTTTTTCCTGGCAGACTTGGATTTCGGAGTTGCTGGAGAGGCGGCGTTGCTATCAGTGACCATTGTCTTGATTCTTGCTAAGCGGCGCTGAATTGCAATTGCCGTGCATCCTGGATTTCAAGTCAGCCATGTAAACATTCAATGCGCTTCTAAGGCGAATAGCCAGGAGTTAGGCATACCATTCCCCATGATGTTGGCTACTGCTTGGTGGTCCACCTTGGGGGCAGAGGTGGAAATAATTGCGAACAGCAACTATTTCGAAGTTTTGATTAGCCAATTGTTGATCTCCTCAATGGCTGGCAAATACTTACTTTCATATGTGCTTTTTCGTCCCAGGTAATCATTTTGAGCAGTAATGTGTAGTAAAGGTTACTCAAGGTTGGTTTGGAGAAGGTAGCTTGCTAACAAGTCTAGAGATTGAGCTTGCTGGTTGCTGGTTGCTGGGTTGTTGTGAAGACAAAAAGGAGACAAGGTCTTAGCTGTGAAAGAAATATATAGGAGCCTTCTGGTATACCATCGCTGCGGTAACAACTAAGATAGGGTATAAACATAGCTATACTACGAGCTAAACCTATAAGATTTATAAGATAGGACCCCCAGGTATTGTCTTAGGCTGAGTTATATCAAATAGTATTGTCAACTATTTACAGTATATTAGATATACTAAGTGTCTCTCAATTTTCCTTGTGTTATTAATTTCTACTTCTTTCGATAGCTACATGTATGGAGCGTTCCCTTCTAGCTTTTCGTATACCAAAGACCAAATATACGGCCCTTGACTAAACGTAGAAGAATATGTAGAAGATGTTCACTCTTCGGTGTCAGGCTCCTGTACATGTTCTTGTTTGACCTTCTTGATATCTCCAGACTCCTCATCAAAAATGTCATTGGCATTGCGCTTTTTGGCCTTCATTCCATGCCCACCACCGGTTTTGGAATTTGGGGTTTTAGCCGGAGAGGAGGATGCACTGTTGCCCTGGTCAGCTTTCAGTTTGATCCGGGCTAGTCGATGTCGAATGGCCTTCGGCGTACAATCTAATAAAGGGTTAGCCATCTGAATTATTTGGAAGAACTGCAATGGAAAAACGGTTGCTATATTCATACCATTGCCGATAATCTTCGCCACTGCATCGTAATTGATTTTGGGCGCTGACGTTGAGATAATTGCAAACAAAAGTTATTGCAGTGTTTATATATTAGTTACCGCATCCTAAGCAGGCCATGAATTCATAAATACTTACCTTTGCATCAAGCTTGTCATCCCACGTAACTCCTCTTCCCATCGTTGGTAGCTCAAATTGGTTGTATATTGTCTTCAAGTCTTTTGTAAATCATGACAGGATAATTAATTCTTTAGAGGCCCGAGGATTTTTCAACTGTGATGCTTGCTTGTAAAGATAAAGGGGAAGGAGAATATGTTTTCTTTGCTGTGAAAGAAATATACCCTCTAGCACATTATCGCCATAGCAACAACCAAGGATAGGACATCAACGTGTCAATATTACAGTCTAACCCCAGGAAATAATGCTTTCTAGACATTTTCTTTGGCTTGGAGGTATAAAATCAACATAAGTGATCAAATTTTGTTCGATGCCAACCGTATCAGGGGGGTTCTGACAACCCCCATGGCAAACGAAAGGGAGGAAACATCCCCTGGACCATATTTGATACTAGGACAACAGGTAAACAAGTCTGACTTTTGTGCATTGTATCTTCAAACCTCTATAACTCTAGGGGTATTGCTGAATGCAACAAAAGAGGTTATATATTTGATGTTTTTCATAGTATTAAATAAATGCTGATCTCAAAAATAGGCATAGAAGAAGTCAAGGGGCATCAGGTCGAGGTATCTGGGAGGGTTTAACAGGGAACAAAAACCGGAAAGCATTTGTTTCCTGTGCTCCAGGAAAAATAGCGAATGTATGCTAGGTCTAAAGAAAAATGGCTATGAATTTCATGTTATAAATATTCCTCATGCAACTACTCGACTGACGATTCGAATCAATGCAAATGAGCTCTGCGACAAGACAAATGTGGGTATCAAAATAGGCTAGCACAAGGCCATTCATGTGGCCGAATGTTGTGAATATGAGTTGGCGTGGACCACTGGCAACTGGATGATATCTGAAGAGATTCTTGGATAGCCAGAGAGGTATAGACTCTAGAAAAGGAACGGAAGGTTTAATCGGTACGATAGCACTTATCATTCCTTGTGTCGAGAAGCATCCATCTCCCAAACTTGAGAGGTATCGGGCAACTCTGCCATGGGTGGGTGCTGGTTTCCGTATCCTACTGCTCCCGCCTTTTCTGGTTCCATTATTGTCGGCATTGACGCAGGCGGCGCACGTGGTGGTCCGGTTACGGGCGACGTTGGAAGAGAGTCAAGTTCTTGGAACCCATTTTTTGGCGGCCGAGGGGAAAATGGGTCTGTGGATGTCTCCGGAGGCGGGGATGCTGCCCTTGCTTTCCGCAATCGAAAGATGAAGTAGCCAAAGAATACCAATCCTCCTACACCAGCTATTGATGCAATGACTGCCCCAGCAATTACGCCTCCAGATACAGGTGGATCGCCATGAGGGTGTTTTGGTCGATGTGTATGTCTCCCAGTCTCAATCGGCGTGTCCGTTGAAATTTGCGTGGTTGAACCAGTTGTAGGCGCATTTGTGACCTCAGTTGTCGGTGATGTTGTCTCGGATGACGAGGTAGAGCTGGTTCCCGTAGACGACTCTGTAGATCCGGAGGATGATGTCTCCGTTGGTGTGCGTGTTGTACTTGTCCCGCTGTCTGTGTTGGTGCGTGTCATAGATGTAGTCTTGTCCGATGCTGTTGATGAGGATGGTTCTGGAAGATCATCGCCTTCCTTGTTGACTAAGAAGGACTTAACATAAGATTGCCCAAGTTTTCGGGGCCCCCATATAGGACATGACCAGCCGTTGCGGTCTACACAATTGTCATCCGCGAATAGATTGATACAGTATCGACCTGATGTTTTCGGGTCCCAGCTGTAAATCTTTCCCTTGTCCATATTTATTTTTGTGCAAGAATGTGTCCCAGATCCAGTCTCGACATGAGCGTCATTTTCTGTATCATGCCACACAAACGACCATGCGTCCGTCGCTCTTATGAACAAAAACACACCAAGGACAAAATGGCAAAGCAGAGTTATTCGAAAAGCCATATTCTGTACCAGTTATTGCATCACCGTAATAATGAAAAAATATCAGTTAATAACTCAAGAGAGTTATATTTATTCGGGGCAACTTGACTTGATCTTTGATTTATGAAAAATGGATGCACATCGAAGGCGAGGAGAGGAAACTGTGCTCATGAAGGAGTTCCAAACAGAGCCGCAATAATATGGGAATGGATTTCATAGGAAGGAAAGCAGGTACGAGCTGCAGGGGAATTCAGCATCGTAATATGAAATCCCAAGGGCCGATCAGCACACTAAGTTCAAGCATCCCAAAGCGAACCCCAAGGAACAGTCAAGTCGAGTCGCTCCACCACGACCACACGCCCTCGGCTTAATGCTGTCCGGATGGGGGATGTTCGTATTCTGGAATGAAAGATCCACAGAATAGCAATTGGAGGCACCATCATTTCCTTCAATCAGCCTAGAGCCCAGAGATATCCCGCACTAACACGAGATGTCACTTTAGCTTTGGGCTCCGTCGGAGCCCGTCGAGAGCGGAATACCAGCATGGCTGTCAAGAGCGAGGGTTACTTTCGCCCAGACTCAGATAATGGTAAGGCAGCATCTGGTCAAATCCTTCATTATCGCGCTCTCAAAGGCATTGTTATTCACTATTGCTGCTTCATCTGAATGAATCTGGATGGTGTCGCGATATTTATTCGAGGTCGCTTTTTTGGAGATTTTGAAGGTTGGGCTCGCAAACCTTCTTTCACGGGCAAAAGGGACAAACCTGACTAAGCAACCTAGTTTCTAAAAATAACAACCAACGACATCGAATGAGGATGAAGAAAAGGAGTATCAATACGGAGTACACGGAGTACATACCCAGAGCAATCCAGGCATAAAAGTTGATGAGACATCCACAACCCTGAACCATATACCCACAGTGTATGTGAAATAATGAATTGGTGGCTCTCTATAGAAACCCGTCGATCGTTCTAAGAGAGATGCTTCAACCTGCAACTCTTACCATGACCACACGGCACACTGCACCAAAGGTATTGTGGAATATGTGTACTAGCTCCCCGTAGATGAGAGACTTCCAAACCAGAGGACCATTAGACGGTTGCTTCTATTCTTTATACCCATAATATATCCGTGACCTGGAATGGGTGCTGTCCTAGTTGCCATAACCTGAGCTTTGCAGCTCTCGAGGGTTGCACAAAGCCACAAAGCGAATCTTCCGGCTTCATATTGGATGTTGGATTATGAGTTTATCGCAAACCACTCGAGGTAGCACTTCAGCAAAGGCTCTTGGGTATAACACTGTTATGATGATCATTACTGCATAAAGTATACCTGGCTCAACAACTGAAGTTTTCGATAAATCCATGGCAGCTTGTTATTCCTAGATTCCAGCACCACGGAGAAACTATCGAGTGGCATTTTAGCGTTGTTAATAATTATGCCCCCATGGTATGCGATAGGGAAAGATATCAATAGCCACTGCTCAAGGGCTTTATACCCAGCCTCTATGGAACCACGTTGTCCACCATAGGATAGTAGCGTGACATACTTTGGCCAGAAAGTGTCAAGAGACTCTAGTACATCGATTTATCAACCATATCTCGCCTTGGATTGAACTTCCACGCTTACTACCAAGATTGAAATCACGAGGACCGACGAGTTCAAACGGAAATAGAGCCAAACTGGCCGTTTGAATTTATCTTGATAACTAAGAAACACGCCCCTATTGGCTAAAGCTCGCGTCGCTGTCGTGGGATACTGAGTGCGGCTGTTCGTTGCATTGCAATAATACCAGGGGTCGAGAAACAAAAGAAAGGAAAAGAAAATTTAACTAGAAGATGGTACCACCGTTGCCTCAACTATGCCTCGCCAGAATATGACACCAATTGACCATTTCAGGAGCACCCTATTTCCTTCCTGAAGATCACATCCGGTACTGTGCGTTGTCGAGATTAAACGATTTCATCCTTAACGAGGTCATCCATGAAGTCGTCATCGTCTTTGTCATCTCCATCAGCGGGAGCGAATTCGCTGACGCTGCTTTCATACTTCATTGCATCTTCCTCGTCAGTATCTCTTTCATACTTGATCATTCCTAGGGGCAGGGCAGGGTTGGTTCTCACGCGTTTACCTAAAGGTCGGTGCGTGAACATATCTTCCAACTCCCCATTAGAAACCAGGTTCTCATCAGTCGTCTTTTTTTTCACCGGCCCTCCATTGTTTGCTGGAGTCGGAGTGTGAGGAGAACCATTTTCTCCGCTCATGTCTTTCTTCGGGCCTCTAGTGCGAGACCGCTTGGTGCTAGACTTTGAGCCTCCAGCTCCGTGCTTGCGAGAAGCAGGGGTTGTGGGGGCTGAAGTGCCATTTTTGGCTGCAGTAGCTTTCGCGAGTGCGCGAATTTTATGGATTCGTTCAGTGATAGCGCGAGGCGTAGGACGGGCGTCCTCATTTTCAGCTGCTATTCGCGACCTTAGACGGATGTTCATTCAACAGACATACGAAGTATGATTGCTAACTTACGCCATGCTTCCGAGATCTTCTTCGGGTCCACGCTAATGTCATGGGTCTCAATGAACTTGACCAGAAGCTGTTTACGCGACCAATTGGTTAGCGTTGTGGCCGATGTATGCTAATCAAATAGTCAAGCCATATTTCCAACCCAACAGAGAGGAACAATATATAGATCGAGTATTCTGTCAAAATACAGATCCCAGTGAGGTTGGAAACAACGGCATGCAGAAGAAAAGTCAAGGATATAATGTAAATGGTATTACCATCTGATCATTCTCGCTCGTCCAACGAACAGGCATCTTGCTGGTTTATGGGTGTAAATTTAAGAAGTAGTCGAGGCTAGATTCTGCAAAACAAGCGGTTTGTTACCGGCGAGTTTGACCAAATTTGAAGTGTAAATGAAGTGCAGCTGAAGAGAAAAGAGTTGATAGTGAGTGGAGTTGGTAGTGGATGAAGAGGAAGCTGATAGAAGAAAAGATCAGACTCTTATGAGCCTGATATCAAGGAGGGTGGAAGAATAGTGTGAAAGGAAGAAAGAAGAAGAAGAAGAAGAAGAAGAAGAAGAAAGGGAGGTTTTATACGTGTGGTTACTAGGGCGATCTAGTAAACACAAGCTTGGAGTGAGAGGTAGATGACGCTTCTTCTGTATTGCTAACTAAGCGGTTAAAAGAAAGAAACCAAGTTATGAGCAATACAGTTTGTAAGTTGTGAGCTTTTCTTCTTTGAATTTCAAAGGGAAGATATAAGTTAGATAAATATATAAAGCAATACTAGTATCTTGTATCTTAAGTGTTGCTAGTTTTCATCTACTTACTTTGTAAAGAGGCTTCCCAATCTTAACTAAAGTGAATAGTGCAATAAATTAACCCCTTTAGCCAGTATCAGCTTGAATTCATCCTAAATAGAGTAAGAAAAGAAAGAAGAAAAAGTGGCAAGCAGTTAAACAAAATATAGAAGTTGAACAATTTTGAAAGAGGCTGAAAGCTTAAGCCATTTAGGCGCACCAACAAAAACCTTAAATAAACCCCAAACCTCACTTCTGAGATAAACATCCAACCTCAAGTCGAATGTCTATGCTAGAATGTAAAGGACCAATTGTTTACCTGTCACTTGAATACCACAAAATAAGCTAACACAGCGTCTAACACGTATCTACTTTCGTAGTAGATGAATCCCTTCCATGGGGGGGCCTCGCCTTGACCCAACCCGCAAACCCGTACGCGGTTTGCCTGCCTAGCTCGAGGAATGGGCTTGCTACGTCCGTCAGATGAGATCCCATCTACCTATACAGTCCTCTGTATAGTGACCATCGCTGTATCTGAAATATCCTATAGCTTCCTGCCACCCTACCCTTCATACCCTTGATCTTGGCTGCATTCTATTGCCGTTATACCTCTAGTCCTGAATAGTCGCGTTTTAAGCTGTATTATGGTGGCATATCCGCGAGTATACTTCTCCATGGCAGTATAATCAATTGGATATCGGTGTTATTACCCATTGCGTTCTTATTTTCATTCTTCCTTACAGCTCTATATACCACATGCTAGGCATATGATAGATATGGATATACATTAAGTCAATGCCTTGGGTTTACTCGCGAACTATTTGCATACGCCAATGACTAATAGTCAAAGTAAACTAGGCTCCTGGTCGTTTGGGATCGCCTTTATTAGGGACCCAAGATTCTTTGGAATTGGTGTTCCATGACAGGACTCTGTATGCCCGAGACGACTGGCTATGTTAGTTCTCTAGTTCCCTACAACACGCTAGTGAGTTCGCAGACTTTCCACACAATTAAATACTGGCTTTTACTTATTTTCAGCTTTATCGCCCAACCTCTACAGAATTGTGTACCTGAAGCCAACCACCACGAGCACACTATTGCCCACACTCCTGCTATTCAGTATACCATGGTGACCTGGGATAAAGCCAGCATTGAGAGACTGATTGCAGCACTGCTCGCTGCACATCCAGATCTTAGCGTACGTTGTCCCCGATCAATCTCCTTTCTATCTTGAATGTAGCGAAATTCCAGGCTAATAATGGCTTTATAGCCTGACTACCGCACGATGGCGGTATATTTTGGTCAGGGAGCAACATACGATGCAATCCACGGGCAGTTCAGGAGGTTTCGGCAAGATGCGAATAAGATGCGTGGTTCCGCAAGCGGCACAGTCCCGTCAACGCCCAGTCGCCGGAAGAATGTCGCCTCATCGACCCCCCGCAGCGGCAGAGGTGCCATAACCAAGTCAGCATCCGCTAAAAAATCAAACTACGGCAATTCTAACATTGAGACACCCACCAAGAAGCGGGAATTGAAAATGGACAGCAACAAAGATGATCCAATAATCCTGGACGATGATGAGGAGAACGTCACTACGCCACTTGTTAAGCACGAAATGAGCGAGGTAAAACACGAGAATCCTGTTATCAAGGAGGAAGCAAAAGCGGGGGAAGTCATCTCCATGGCTGATATGTTTTCGGCCGCCGCCTCTGCTGATAATGAAGGTCCTCAACACGAGATTGCCGCGACTGGCAAGTCTCCAGCTACGGCCCTTTCTTCTGAAACTCCACATTTGCCAGACGAAGGCCTTCTCTCTATGCCTCTACCGCCAAATCGAGTGTTATTCTTCAACTACGATGACGATGAAGACATAATCGTTTGAGCAGATACTCGGACACTCGGAACTTTAGTTAGTGGTGGGTCCTGTGACAATGTGGACTTATTTTCTCGTGGGCTTCTATCCATGATTTTGATGTTTTTGTCGGTGACAGTACGCAGATGTGACAGTCTGATGCTTGTGGATTTTGTAGCTTCTAGCTGCGAATTTGGTTGTGTACTGTCTATTGGCCTCTCTATTGTATCTATCCAATATGGTCAATGTTCCCAATATGTTAGCGACGGTCGTATATCTATTTAACTGCGATTTTCAAATAGTATGAGACTATATCCCAATAACGTAACGGATCAAGTCTCATGTGCCCAACGTGAGGTGATCCCTGGAACTTCTCTCTTGATACATGGAAGCCCCTATCCTCTGCTTGCAAGGAGTGTTCCTCAACATCTCTCCAGGATATCAAGTCGTCCGTCTCAGAGTATAAATAGCACCGTTCCACCCGGCTATCGATAAGTTTGGTATCAATTGACGCGTTCCACGCGAGCTCAGTAGGTAATTCCAGGCCCAACAGGCGCCAGTAGGCAAAGGCCCATAATAACGCAATATAGACAGCCGCTCCCGCGAAGAGGCGAGGGATAAAGGACTTGGGCAGTCCGTATGAAACTGCCCTATGGGCTCCTGACAAGGTAGACTTCCCGGGACAGCTGTCCATTATGAGAGATTTTAGCGGCAGCGGGCTTTTCGTTGCTTTTTCATAAGCCACGGCGATGCTTCGGAGAGTCACACAACCACCGTTCGAGAAAAGATGGAGATGTAGCCGATCATCGGAAGGGAGCCCAGGGGACGAAGCAGAGGCCGTTGAAGACAGCAATACATCCACTGCTGGCTGGACTCGCCGTGTTTGAGAAGCCTCGGAGGTGTTCAGGAATAGGTCGGAGGAAGACGTGAGGACAAATAAAATCCGTGCACGGGGCGCGAGTTTGGTATATTCGGAGATATATTTGCTTGCATAACGGAGCTGTGCGTCCATCCAGAATAGAACCACGATTGTAAGGCGAGACGAAGTTGTGATGGCTGCCCTGCTGTGCTCAGTAGTATTACTGCTGGCCCCATCACGAAACCAGATTGAACGACCGATTTGGACAAAGGAGGGATCTATCAACGAGGGCAGTTTTTCCAAAGGCGATGCCATCTCGAATGGGCTGGGCAGTCGTAGGATTGCTGTCTCTTATCCCTTATATTTTATCGAGTCTTGAGTCTTAATTGCAGTCTATAATCTTCTCAAACTATACGAAGTAACGGTGGACACCACCGGCTGGGCTAACTGCGGGCCAGGGGCCGGCTAATATATAATACCTACTGCGTAATTCGGGGTAGAGGGCCCTCTAGAACACGGCTAAAAAGACATCACTGATGGCGGTATTCAAGCGTTCACTGATCTACAGTTGGAAACAGCGATGCAAACGAGACGGTATGTGCAGCAAGGGATATTATTGACACACGACAGCGAAGGAACGCCATGGCTCATGAGGGAGAACAAAGGGTAAGGGGAAAAGCGTGTTCAATGGATAAGGGTACAGGCAAGTTCAAATCAGAATGGCCCCTGATATCTGTTCCCTTTTTTTTTTTTTTCTTTCTTCTTCTTCCCGGTTTTACTTCGGGCGGCTTGATTTTCCACCCAATGTCCGGCCTTTATCTTTCTTCTCTGTGTCACTGCCAGAGGCTGGAGTGGCCTGCCCAGCCAGCCCTGATCCTTTCTTCTTTGCTCGGAGAGTCTGGCCTGTGCCCAAGAACTTGGGCTGTGCGCCCGATTCCGGACTTTCATCACTTGAATCCTTCTTTTTAACCGGGGTAACTGCATATCCAAAGAAAAGTTTTCCGGGTGGTAGCCTCAGTGGCTGAGGGCCGTTTGATCTTCGAGTTGGAGGTGCAGGCGGTGGGTTGCTGGATTTCCCAGATGCAGGGGTTGCGGATTTGGGTGTAGAAGATTTACTTCCCTTCTTCATGTTAAGTCGTTGACCACTGCCGTGGAAATTAGAGGAAGCTGCGTTTGCTGCTCTCGCAGCATCATTTGACCCAGGGGCTATCGCGGCATAATTGATGGATTGCGCCATTGTTCCATGGGAATGAAGGGTTCCGCCTGCAGGCAAGGAGCCAGCAACACCACTAGCTGGCGTGCTTGTCCCGCTCAATCGTTTTGGCTCCTCGTATCCCACTGGGGGAGCAAAATCGACCTCTAAGTCGGTCTCTAGCACCGAAATAGCGTTCTGACTGGTTTCTGGTTTTGTCTCCAAAACGGCCATCTCGTATATTTGATCATTGTAGGAAAATGTGAAGATGTCGCCTTTGGTAAGGCAAGAGAAGTTCCGAAAGGCGTTCTCAAGCACAGCTTTAGGGTCACTAATATCGAGAAAAGACGTTGACTGGGCCTGGAGCTTGATTTTAGACCCTGGAGGAAGATCCGTAGATTTTATCTGTACCAGGTCCCCAGGTTCTAGTAGAAGCGTTTGCATAATCTGTTTTCACCAGTGCCATTAGCCACGGACCACCTCCCCGGAGGCTACATATCTGTTTCACATACCCAAAATGGCAAGTATATTTTACCCTCCTCAGCAATAAATTCCAGCACTCCAGCATGAGTCATCTGTTGCTTTGCGCCGTTATGTAGCTCGAAAAGCATGGGGTAAGTGATGTGCAATCGAGTGAGCTTATCCAGAGCGCTCGGCGGCATGATCACCTTGCCTCCATGGTTCACGTTCTCACGCTCTGGGCCCGGTAGCATAGCTACTGGATAGCATCGATAATATTCATCAAATCGTCGAGAGGAATGTGTTGAATGGCGAATCATGGAGGGATGCAGGATCCCATCCATAGGGTCGTCATTATAGTAGCCAGCCTGGGAGGGCGTCACCTTTTAGCCAACAGACCAATACCTTAGCAGAACACTTGAGAAACTCTCACCATTATGAAGATAAAGCCTGTTTTCCGGCTATCACTCTCTGGGAGTATGCTTCTAGAAATGCAAGAGAGCGGCAGGCAATGAAATTGTGCATGTACTAGCGGAGCCCAGGCAGCATAGGTGAGGGACAGGACAAAATACAAAATATGATATGAGATAGTTAAGGCCAGCTAGGAGTATATCAACATGGAATAAGCCGTCCAGGGGCTCGCAACGAGAGGTCCTGGTCGTGAGAGCCTTGGGTGGCAGATGTTGATGTTGATTAATAGCCAACACTGGTAGCTTTGAACTCTGGTGGGAGTGACGCAAAGAAGACAAACAGTGCAAACAAGCAACTTCGTCTTCCTGTTTTACTCTCTAATAAGGGACGGCGGCCGTGAAGCTGTCCGGGTGCGCCTTTTCTACGACGTGTGCACAAGTAGTACTCGAGCTCGCTGCTGACCACTGTTTACTTATACCGCGCGCAAAATATGTCGTCCTCATATACGAGACAGAAACGAGGAGGCGAGGAGGACGACTCGGACGGCGCAGAGCAATCCTCGTCCAAGGAGCCGCGATTCGACGTCCGAAACCCCTCTGCGCTCGCACCAGATGCCCTGGAGGACGATGCTGTTTTGGATGCGGACGAGTTTGGCCATCGGGGCCAAAAAGTTCGTCGAAATGCTGTAAAAGTGGAAGGGTTCGAGTCGGACAGCGAGAATGAAGGATTCGACGCCCGCGCTGAAGCAAAGTCAAAGGCTAAAAAACGGGAGAATCGTGCTGACGATGACGACGATATGTTTGCCGAACTAGAAGAAGACTTTGCAGAAAACGATGATGAAGACGAGACAGGTGGAGTGAAGCATAAGAAGCAGGTTCGGTTCCTGGAAACAGATGAGATAGAGGGACAGGTTAATTCGTCGAGAGCTGGAGGGAAGGTTACCCTAGATACCCGATCAGCTGGCGGAAAAGGAAAAGGAAGAGCTATTGATGAGGAGGAGGAGGATGATGATGATAGTGGGAGTGAAGTTGGCGACGATGTCCGCGCTGCCCTGCCAACAGACGTGGACAAGGAGCTTGGAGCTGGGAGTAAGAAGCAGCATGCACCTCTCCTCGATGCTTTCAACATGCGGGCTGAGCAAGAGGAAGGCCGCTTCGATGACGCCGGGAATTACGTTCGAAAAGCAATGGACCCCGACGCTGTTCACGATTCATGGTTAGAAGGTGTATCGAAGAAAGATATGCGAAAGGCGAAAGAAGCGGCGGAAAAACGAGAGGAGGAAAGACGCCAGCAATCTCTTGCTGCCGACAAGGTGCTGACCAGTGATGTCTTGAAAACATTGATACAACATCTTGATCGAGGAGAGACTATTATCGAAGCTCTAGCAAGGCTGGGCAAAGGGCTAAAGCACCGGCCTAAATGGCAGAATAAGAACAAAAAGAATCAAAAGAGGGCCAATGGGGTAGCTGAGGATGTGGAAATGCAGGAGGAAGACCCAAAGGAAGCAGAGAAGAAGCGGGCTGTTGAAGAAATTACTGAAGCTGCTGATATGCTGCTAAGTCGTGGCCAGACAGATATATACGATACGGAGCGTGAGCTTCTCACTCGCATGTATCAACGGGAAACGGGGGAGCAGTGGGTAGACCCTCCTGGCCCCGAGACAACAGTTGACGAGGGTGGAGATGGAGAGAATAGTGAGATGTGGGAGTTCCGCTGGTCGGATTCTCGAGATGGCGGGATAATACATGGCCCTTACGATAAGCCAACTATGCAGTCATGGAGTGGTGCCGGATATTTCTCAGAAGGTGGAGCGGAGTTCAGGGTCGTTGGAAGCTCAGGTCCCTGGAACCCAGGGGATCCATTCTCATGATGTCTAGCTAGACGGTAACGGGGATGTCCCTTTTTCGTCTTTGTGTACAATAAGTAGCTGTTTGATTTTTGCGGATATACCAAAGCGCAGGCGAAATAAAAATATAAACGGGCTTTGTTTCTATTACGATGAAAAATAGATATTACCACCTAAAATCCCTGAAAACAGGGGAGAAGAATCGACGCCCCTATTTCATATTGCACAAACACAGCCCATTATGGAAAAGAAGTTTTTATTTTCCCCTGCAAAAGCCCCAACGCGCCAAAACTCGTACAGTACAGTCATTAAATGAAGGGTCCAAGCAAGCTCCAGTAGTTCAATCACGAGACTTCCATGGGATCACCACCGTTGGCGGCAGCCGTTGAAAAGTTGACGTTTCCGGAGTCACTGATGAATCGTTGTTCGAACTCGTTGACAAACTTGACACTTCGTACAGGGTCGTAGAAAAGACTATAGCTGCGTTGGATATCTTCGATTCCGACTTCTTTAGATTTCCGCTTCTGGCTAAGAAGGGTTGATGTTGCGATGATGTTGCTGGCGTAGCGAAGGCCGGATTCCTGTCCGATCTTAGTCAAAAGAGCAAGTGCATCAGGGCTGAGGTCAATCTCCTCTTCCTGCGCACGGATGGCAAGGATTTGTTGTATATCTTCCTTTCCATATGGTTGAGTGCTAACAATGACGACTCTGTCAAGGAAGTCCAATGGCAAGCCATGAGGGGACTGGTATGTTGTGCCTCGTATCCTGGTATTGCCTCTGTTGCTTGCCATGATAACAATTGGTGCTAGCTCAGCCTCTAGCGCGCGGTTGATGTACGAGAAGCACTCAATGTCAAGCATGTGCACTTCGTCGATGAAGAGAACACCAGGAATAATCTCTGCTTTCCCTTCCTCCTTCCATTCACCGACCTTGGAGTTAATCTGGTCACGGACTTCGCTTCGAATCTCGCCGGTATCTCCGGAGAAAAGAGCTAGGAATCCCTGGCTTCTCGAATTTATCACGTCGATTTCATGAAGGCTGACAGTATGAACGACCTCCTTCCGGACCTGGAGTTCACCTTCAGGGCACTGAACGAACTTGGTGTCAGGACCCATAGCATCATAATCTCGCGATCTAGCGAAGGATCGGCCCAGCTTAGTTATCTTCCCAGCCGCCTTGTCGATAGAGATGACGTCTCCAGCCATTACACGCTCCTTGGTCATGGAGTCAATCATTTTCGTTCCCATGTCATAAACAGTTTCCATATCTGTAGTTTTAATAGTCAATTTTCCTTGTTTGTTACCCTATCAACGTGAATCAGCAAGAAGAACTCTTATGCAACGTCTCAGTCGAACACGAGAAGAAAAGTAGCAGCAAAGCTTACCCCCGTAACACTCCGATCAATTTGGATCTCGACGACTTCTCCCTCAATGATCTCGCTTTCCTCCTTTATCCGCACGCCGATCGATTTACGGAAAGCCTGGGTAAGAGCTTCGGTCTTGGACAGCTCCAAAGAGAAGATTTCGGAGGAAGCAAGCATCGTAAACGGAACATCTGGGCCCAACGACTGTGCCATTCCCATGGCAATGGCGGTCTTTCCAGTGCTAGGTGGTCCCGCAACAAGCACCGCACGTCCTGCAATCTTGCCCTCCTTGACCATCTGCAGTATGACGGCGGCGGCCTTGCGCGCTTTCTGCTGGCCAACGAGCCCCTGCGACGCGGCACGAGTCTGGAGAGTATCTGGGTCGACACCAAGCCCTCTGATATGCGAATGCGCTGCTACCAAATTGAGGCCCCGGAGGTCTCTGCTTTCAGAGACGGTCGTGATAGGCTGCGTAGGAATTGTCAGTAGTGTTTCTCATCAGAGCTTGGACTTGGAGAAGACAGAAGCTTACAGCCGCCATTGCTGCGAGTATAACTTGTCGCAAACCCTCACTTTGTGACTTCCTGAATCCTGCTGTCCAGCAAGCTTCCTGTCTGTTGATGTGTATCTATGTATTTGCAGTCTCCGTCGTCGTCCAAAAGCTCAAACCAACATCCACGAACGCCAAGATAATATATTATATAAGCAGTGCTTCGGATTTTAGTTTTGCCGATAATCTTTTGATTTTTATTTTTCCATTTTTTAATTGGTCAGTATTTACTCTCCGCTTTGTCTCTGATGATCGTTTATCGTCCATCTACTTATTGCATCACGTACGACTCGATGTCTTTCACTAATGCAGAATCATGTTGCGCTCTGTCAAAGAAGTTTACCTGGAACTAGCATCATATAGGAATGTGTGGGCGTAGCCCCGGAAACCACAGAGGAGCGTGTCTTATCATAACAGACGCGCCTGGATAACTAATGTCGCGATAAGCTTAACTAACTAAAAGCCAAAAAAAAAAAAATCTATTAATATTTTCGAGTCAATGCTGAAACGCCATATCTACCAGAGACTGATGCTCACCACTCCTTTTAGAACCCCTGGTTCATTCCATTCCTTTGTTTTCTCCTTTCTCCCTTATACTCTTTTTACTGTCTGAACTGGGGTTGAAGGCGAAGTGAATGTTTATTCATTCACTTTATACAGCAAGTTTGGAACTGTAGTTATATTTACAGCCTTTTAAATGTTTCCCGTCTTATTTCTTTTCTTTAATAGTTCCACGCAAAGAGTACGCGTTGAGTCTGAGCTCAGTAAGTGCTGTTATCGTCAATAATCTATTAATATTAGTTGTATGGTTACTGATTGATTTATATCTAGAATTGAGTCCATCGTGCCAAACTCCCATTTGCACCGTCTACAAATATGGAGAGATCCAATTCCAACCTTAACGTCCCCACCGGACCTCGTTTTGATCCGTCTCGAGACCCTCGCCGTGCCCCCCGGCATAGAACCCCGGATGTACAGGGAACTGTAGACATCCTTAACCAACTTACTGCCGAAATAACTGAGCTCACCCACATCAATTTTGCAAGGAAGCGTATTATAAAAAAACGTCAAGCGGAAGAACAGAGCCTCAAGATAGCCAAGGAAAGAGCATCCGTCTATCCATCTTATATCCAAGGATTGAAGTTAGCCAGGGAAGAGAGTGACAAAGAGCTGAAAATGCTTGATGATCTGGTTGATACCCACAACACAAATAAAGAGAAGATCATTCTGTCTCTAGCACATGCGATCCATTCAGCTCCAAACCAAGAGGCACAGTCAGGCCATGTGGTAGACAAGCTGGGGCGGGGGCAGGATGATCTGTGGCGTCAAAGTGATAAGTATAGATCAAGTATCGCAGACTTGTCTTCACGCATTAATGATATCTGTAAAAGGCTTGATACTCTTAGGGATGATGTTGACTCTCTATCAAAGACGATGAAACGGAACAATACAGATACCCCTCCAGCCAATAAGCCCCAGGTAAACAAAGATGAGATTGACTTGAGACTCTCAACACTTTCATCGGGTTTTGAAGATTTGAAATCCTCCTACGAAAGTGCAAACAAAAACAGGGACGACATTCTGCAAACTATAGACAAGCGGGTCAAGGATACGATGACAAGTCTGGCTGCAACTAAGGCCTCTCAAGTAAATGACGCCAGAAAGTCTGAAGAACGTCTGCAGTCTGCTTTGAGACCGCTGTCAGAGCAGACAAGTGCATTGACAAGTACACTGGCTGCAAGCGCACAAAAAATTGACAAAATTGAATCGCAGCTGTCTAACCTGGAAAGTACCATGGAGAGCACGGTCAAGGAGATGATACCATCTCTCCAAACTCAGGTCGACGAAAATTCTAAAGCTATTCAACTCCATATTGAACAGCCACCAGAATCTTCTAAAATGCCTTCACAATTACCCCCCGACAAGGCCCAAGAGAACCTCAAAGAAGAATTACTGCTCTTATCGCAACAACTTAACAACTTTCAAAAGGCTCAGGAGGGCAAACTGGAAACACTGTCAAAAGCTGTGGATGGTGCTAACCAGGCAGCCTCTCGTAACAAAGGCGTTGATTCTCAGCCCATAGAGCAGAAATACACCCAGCTACATAATCAATTAGCTTGCCGTGTAAACGCACTTTACGGCCACCTATCTAGTACTCATACAGCTCTTAACTCCTTGGAAACTCGATATGGCCAACTCGCCACTGAACCAGTCATCCACCAAGTGGTATTACGCATGCAAGAGATGTATCCTTATGCAAGTAAGGCTCAGGCAGAAATTGAACGCCTAATCAATGCTACGAATGACCACCTTGCACACATCACCTCCCAGGGAACGAGAGTCACTTCTTTAGAAGAAGGACTAGCAAAATTAAAGAAAGCCGATGAATCTCTCATCACATTCCTCCGTTCTGAAAGGGCCGAAATAACAGGAAGAGTGGATGCAATTCAGGCAAAGATAGACGAGTTAGAAAACAGCACTGTCGACACTTTTGCCAACCTTACTGCAGACGTAAAACTCGCTATTGAGAAGATCGAGGAGATAAAACCCCAGTCTCAAACAACGAGTGATGGCAGTCCTTCAGCTCAAATACATAGCGAAATGAGTGTTAGCTCCATAACCTCCGATTCTCAGCCAGCATCTCAGTCAGGCTCCGAACAGCATCGTAATAAGAAGAGAAAACTAGATGAAGAGACACCAAAGCAATAACTGATGACCGTGGAGATATAAGTCACGTTCCATGCTGGCCGATAGCAGTCTTCTTACTCCTGATGTATTACCCTACCCCATCAATTCCCTTGTACAATTTCTACCTTCTTTTGCACGTTAATCCTTCCTTTACTATTCCAAATGATACCCATTTCCCTCCACCTTTTCTGGTGTTATGGAGAGTTTGGTAGCACTGATCAAGCGATGCATCCTAAACGTTAAAGACCGTTCTCTATAATATTTCTACCACTGCTTCTTTATTAAACCCCAGACCTTTTCTATACAAAGCGACCAACAAGTCGAAAAAATCGAGAATGACAGAAGACAAAACAATCAAGTTACCTCCAAAATTGACAGGTATCAAATACATCAAGGGCTGGCATAGCTCAAAGAGCACCAGTCTCCTTAGCTACCGCATGAATCTGCGATACAAGAGCGTCGACGTCGTTAAATTTAATGGGTAATCGGTGGTCACCATCCCATTCCACGAGGCGAGTAGTACTCTTCACAAAGGACGAATCACGCAGGTGCCGGTGAAGATAAAGGCCTGGGTCTCGCCGCCCATGAACGTGTATTGTGGGTATGTGTAGGAGTCCACTAGCAGACTTGATATCTTCTGATTGTTCAGTAGCGGAAGAAGCTGAGCTACCAGGGGCACTACTGTCGCTTCCATAGTCGAGACCCAGTTCTAGTAAAGGGCCCCGTCCGTTCATTATAACGCCGAATTTGAAGTCGAATGAATTCTCATCCCGTATGTTTAACTCCGTCTGGACTTGCTGCTTCATCAGAATGCTCGCACTCGTCTTTGCGCCCTGACTGAACCCCAATATGCCGACCCATTTACCGGTTGCTCCTTTGGCATCATCCTCGGCCATGGCTTCTCGAAGAATCTTCTCCACGTAGTTCAATGTCTGTCCGCCAAAGTCCTCCGTGACACCAGGCTTCCAGTTATGCCAGCAGTAGAATGGCGCATAGTCTTCGTATACTGACTCGATGCCCGGTCCTGCAGGGCTGGAGAATGGCGCATCAACAAAGCATAGCCTGAACGTGGACTTGAGGTGAGCCCTCATAACACGGCACTGGGTATAGAAGATTCTCGCATTTGAACCACCCCCATGGAGACAGAGTATTCGAGGCAAATGGAGTGTTTCTATGTCGGCTGTCACGTCGACTCCTGGCATGGTTAACGACTTATGGCGGTGTCAGGGCCTTCCTCGGGCTTATAATCTAACAAGGCTGCTGAGAGAATAATATAACTAATTAGTTAGTTAGTGTTTGTTCGAGTCGGCAGGATAACTAACTAGTTAGTTCGGTGGAGCAACGTGCGCTTGATAGCTCGATATTCACTCGGGTCCGCGTTACACCAGACAGCAACGAAGAAGAGTCCAGTTGTGTTTTCTTGAAGATGTTGATGTCATGGCAATGTAAATGAATGGATCGGGTTTGGAGATAAATCTTCTGGAAAGAAAGCCCCGAAGCCGCCACCTTTCCCGACCCGAGGCTACCTGTTATAAATAGTAACGAATTTACTCGGTGTACGAAGCGGGCCGCAGGATGATGGAGCTGACCATACGAAAAGAACTTTCCGAGAGGGTTATTCGGAGGGTTTTATGGCCCTTCGGGCATCGACGAGCCTAATCCCATGGTATTCTGATACCTAATAGAGCCTTTGAACGGTCTCTGGAGATGGGATGAAGAATCATCTTCCTGTTCACCCGAGCCCAAGGTGGTCAGCCGTGTTCGCGCGGAGGGATCCCTTCATTGCCATCGTATGGGGTGAGGATTCATACCTTACTTAAGTCTTTCCACCTTCTTAGCGAATGGGCTGTCAAAGGGTGACCCATGTTTGTTCGGTAAACATTCCCGCTATCGTATTAAGTCCGGGTCTCATTCTTGTTACATCGGTTGAACTATATAAAAACGACCAGAACAGCTGCCCTGATGGAATAGATATTTCATCAGTGATCAATTTCGCATCGATCAAGTTGCTTGACCCTTGTCTTAGCATCGTTAGTTAGTCTTTAACCACCTGGGACCGTTTTGAATCCTCAGGAAGCCGTTAGTTGAGCCTTAACTAACGGAAGAAGGCCACATTAATACCCCTGGCAAACCCTGTGCCCTGCTTCTGTGCGAATAGTCAAAATTATCCAAGTTCACATGGAAGCCCACCGGTAGGAATTCCAGACGGGAAGAACGTACTCATTTTGAGCCATTTTTCCATCCTCGATAACTCAGGATTGATCGGCTGAATGCCGGGATAGCCAGCGCCCTGCTGCAGTGAG